ATTGGCAGAAAAAGAACTAAAACATCCTACAAGAGGCACCTTTTGCCTAATTTCTTTAGATCGAAATTCATCAGAAGGGATTTAATTTTATATTTACATGGAATCATTTTACTAGTTCATGTTCTGTTTCAAAAAATAAACACTGGATTTGGTTGATCAATTTTTTCCATTTTAACTCAGCAAACTTATTTGCTATTGTTGAGAACTCTACTGCTCTGAGAAATATAATGGCCATTCGGAGCCTTTTAACAACTCAGAAATGAGAAAAGATAACTGCAAGGGTATTTTTTCCCTTCTTCCTTAGTTTTCATATTTTTTAAATTAATTATTTCTCCTTCATTAAAAGCCATAGAAATAAAGAAATATGCTGTATTTCCAAGGTGGGACAAGATTAAATACTAATTTGGAACCATTTGGAACTTGGATCCAAAGCATGTACCTTTCTCAGCATGTACCTAGTCAGCTTCCACCAAGCTCTTGGCCAGCTTTCAGCATACTTCTTTCATTTCCTTTTATTTTTTCCCCCCTCTTTTTTGATATTGGGATTCTGTTTTCTCACAAGGCGATAAAGGTTTCTTAGAATATACAATAAGAGATAATACACTTGTACACTATGCCTGGAAAAATACACATTCTCCATATAGGTCCAAGTGGGATTGAGTCACAGCAAATATATTTACCATAACTATTTCTGCCTCAGTTACAGTTAAAAACATTAATTGTGAACACAGATTAAAAGTTACAAACTAATTTTATTTACGGAAATACGTAAGATCTCCGACCTCCGGGTGTTCCGCTGCGCACTGAAGACCCTGTTGTTCCGCCAGGCAGGGCTGTCAATATAATAATTTTAAATTGGGGTATTTTAATTTTTAGGGTTTTAAATCGGCCAAATCTATTTAATTATTTTAATTTTTAATTATTGTTGTGTCTTGTGTTTTTAAATTGGCTGTACACCGCCCTGAGTCCTTCGGGAGAAGGGCGGTATAGAAATAAAATTATTATTATTATTATTATTATTATTATTATTATTATTATTATTATTATTATTATTTCATTTTAATAGATATGGTACAGTAATATGCTGTAATTGGAAAGTGTGAATTAAGTGAATCAGCCTTAAACTATGAATAAATTCCTTTGCCATCTCTAATCAATATTATCAATACAAAGATAAAAGACTTGTAATAACTAAAAGAAACATTCTAGAAACAGGAGGAACAAAAATGTCCCTGGCACCAAATGCCAAACCTAAAATTCGACTCCTCTTAATTTCGTGGTAACTTTAATTTAGCATGTAAGTATGCAACCCACCCCCAAAGATTAAACGAAGAGCTACACATCTTGAAACTTAATTATTTTTCATATAAAACATTCTAGTATGTAAATGTCTAAAGCATTAATAATTCTTTATTAACTTAGTTTAAATCATATGTCTTCTCTGTTCACCAAATTCAGTCTAACGGATTACAGTTTGGATCAGTGTCATAAATTGGAACCATGCTATTGCAATGAACTTGCTCTCTCTTTCCAAATAGGAGCAAGTCCATAAATTCATTATATAGCAAACTTCTGAAGTGGTTGTTAATTGGAGACAACTTTCTGCTAGTGTTAGAATAAAATAAATAAATAAAAATTACTTTAATAAAACACTGTAAGAAAAATTGCATGGCTGACATAATGCATTAGAGAACATAAAAATCCTTTAGAAGCAATACTCACTGTCCCATTTTTCCAATTTCAAATGGGAATTAGTAATCACACAAAGTTTTGTTATTTAAACATGAAAGAAGGAACTTTGAAAATGTAATATGGTATATGTGACCAGGACACTAAAATATGGGAAATATAAATAGCTTAAAACTATTTAATTATAGTTATACTATAGTATATAGTTATACTATAGTTATAATTTAGTTATACTTTAATTAAGGATATCTAACAAAGTTCCTCACATATTTGAAAGCTGAATAAACTCAGACATTAGATATTATTGAAACTCAAGAGTCCTCTGGAATTGGTGGTAAAATAAACATTTTGGTGGCTTAATAAAACTGTGCAGTAATACTTTCGAAAGTCCCCCAAAGGATGAGGTGGTAGAGGAGGAAATTACTCTGAGGACAAAAAATGTTGCCAATTAAGAGACTTTAAATATAATATACACACATGTGTGAAATGGTATCTAAACAGTCCTAATCAAATCAGTTGGAGTTGTCAATTCAATCCAGTGATTAAAAAAGAAAAAAATACTGTTTTAGTGCAAAAAACTAATTCAGTTCAGAGAATCATTGTAGAGAATTTTATTCCTGAATATCTGTCCTTTAGAACCAGTGCTATTGGAAAAAAACAAAGGACTTTACTTATGTTCTGTCCATGAAACATTACAGCTATGGGGAAAAGTGAGATATTCTAACAGTAGATATTTTTTTATTGGCTGTTGATAGCCTCTGTCATAACTCTATTTCCTTATCTTTCCTATCAAGACTGATTAACATTTAGACCTCAATTTAATAACAAAAATGATTCATGACAAAACTACAAAGTATTTTAATACCAAAAAAAAGCTATCAAATATTTTAAAAGCAATTAACAAAATATTCACATATTTAACACTAAGAACTGTATTAAATTCTTAAACAATAGTTAACGCTACTTTCAAAGAAGGGAACAGTTACTTTAGAGAATAAAAATTAAATCAGAATATGTTTAATTAAACACATAAAAGGTAACTTATATTGCATATATGTTTCCAACAATTTTCTTTCCCTTCTATAGCTGTCCTTTTTTCTTTACAACTTCTTTCCTTAAAGCCTAACTTCTGTGAAATATTCAATACGTATAAATGGGCTACGACCTCATACTGAAATTCACAGGAGTAAATAGGCCCTTTCCATGAAATCAATGGAATGAGTCTCCATTAAAAGTACTTGCTAGACATGTTTATCAAAATCATCCCAATGCCCTTCATGACATTTTTGAGTACATGTCATTATTGAGTCAAATAAAGTACTCTCCAGCCAAAATTAATATTTTGTTTCCATTTAATAGAAACTGTAGAGAATTAAGCTTTACCTGAGAATGACATTTGATTGAGTTATTCTTTTTGAAGTCAATGTGGCTTATTACTAACATTCATTGGATTATACTGTTAAGGACATGCTAGCCATTGAAATCATGTATAAATATGTTGTAAGGTCTTGCAGTTGTTAATACTAAATATAACATTTTTATTAAAAGTACATTCTTTTATCTTTACATCATAAATTTACCTAATTCTAGGAATACTTTAAATAATTAAAAAAACAGTTCTCTATCATTTTAATACTTATACAGAAATTTTCTATTAAAATAAGTAGCAGCCAAATGATAATCAGGAAAACATTTTTCTTTTGGGAAGAAAAGTATGAATAAATATATTCTGAAGCAGAAAAATACTTTTATTTATCTCTTCCCTTCCAAACATATGTACATTTTTTAAAAAATTACATATTTATATATGTTTATGTTTATACATGTTTATACATTTGAAATATTACTTTGTAATCTTTAGAAGAATCAAAATGTATTTTCTGCATTAAAATGTTGGACATTCTTATGTGAAAGAAAATTATTTTTTAAACCTCTTTTTATACAAAAACAGAAATGATGGCTTATACAAAGAATTATATATTTCAGCTGCAATGATGTAATTTTCTTGTTATAGATAATTACCTGATTCTTGTGCCTATCTGTCTTTCTGAGAAAAACATAATACGGCATATATTCTTATAAATATTGCATGGACTTTTTTCTTGCAAAAATTATTTTGTAGTTTCATGCTCTCATAAAATTACAGACTTTGTATCCTCAGTTTTATTGGAGATAAAGAAACAACATAATTTTGATTGTTGTCTAAAGGTATATTCCTCCCTCAAACCTGACACTTTTATAAGATGCAAACTATACATGCTTTAGCATGCTCTTCTTGAAATTTTGTACATGGTAATCATTAAAAAGAACTCCCTGAGAAGCAATGGCTATAGAATTGAAATGACACATTGGCTCCAGCTCAGACATGTATCAACATCTATCACTCAAGCACACCCCCGAACATGCTTTATTCCCTTTTCTGATTAGCGATTACAGTTGCTTGAGTTGTCTTACAGAGTGTCATTGGTTTGAATGACAGATGCCCAGGCTAGACTGCTACCCTTCTTATTTTCATTTAGATATCAAACCAATATTGCTGAAAAGCTATTATGTCACAAGCTATTTGTCCAGTTGTTTAAAACATACTTATATTCATGCATCCTCAGAAACAGGGATAATTTTCAGCTGAAATGAAAATACCTTCTAAGAAGCCATAAAAAGTATTCTTGATTTCCTTCCTCATTAAAATATGTAAGATTGATTTCTTAGATTACCCCAAATTATCTAAACCACTTTTCCAGAATGTGATAATAATATCTAAGAAAGAAGCATTATATCTATTCCCATTTAAAAAGAGATTCCTATAAAAAGGAGAAAAACCTCTTGGAAATACTTAAGAAAAGTTTACTACACCCACAGCTTCCTGACAGGTCATTTTCATGGCATAATACAAAGAAAACATAATCCTTTGGTTACATATTTGTACATTTCAATTGTTTCCCAATTTCTTAACAAAATTGATACATGATTGGTCAATTCTAAAAAAAAAAACCAAGCAGTTATATCTGTATCTCAAAGCAAAAGATAGTATTCAACAAACCATTTGCATGGAGAACAGTCTTGCTGCTGTCCCACCGATTTCTATGGGAATTTCAGCAAAAATCAATGAGGGCATGCTATTCCTCAGGCCAAACTCTTATCAGTTAGCAGGCACATACTCTCAAGCAGGGCAGAGAAAGCTTGTGCCCACTCTCCTTTCCCCAGAAGTTAGTTCTTCCAATTATGAAAGCTTTATCTGCTTTCTCTCCTCTTCTAGCATCGAGGCAGAGGCAACTACAGCAACCAAACACGAAATACCTAGGCAGACTTACCGAAGAGCTTGCTGGGAGCGTCCTCGTTGTCATTTGATTCCACAGGCTCAAGCAGGGACTTATCCAGCTCGTCGTCTGAAGCAGCTGCCTTGTCCTCACCTCTCAACTCTGCATTCATTTCACTCTGCACTGACAACAAGAGCTTACTGACTTGTCCAGTTATCATTGGATCCTAGAATGGGGGAAAAAGAGGGGGAAAAAAGTGGTAGCTTTGATGTGCGGATTCTCTCTCTCTCTCTCTCTCTCTCTCTCTCTCTCTCTCTCTCTCTCTTATCTCTTGCTGCTCCTGCTGTTATTGCTGGCTGCAGTCAAGTGAAGAGCTATTACAGATCCAATGAGTTTTCCATTACTCCCCACCCTATTAAAGCTCAACTAGCATGTGAAAGATTCCGGATGCTTTGGAGAAAAACTTCAGTGAAAGCTACATAGCCAACACAGCTTTAATTGTGAGATGCACTTCTGAATGTTTTTTTACACTTCACTCTTTAATGTAATGTGGTAAGAGAGGGGGAAAATGCAAGCACTATGGTCGAGCAGTGCAATAAAAAAAAAATGGTAATACAGAAATGTCCTAGAACTCTTTCTCAAAAAATTCACTTCTATAACATTAATCAAATCAGAAGAAAAAACTACACAGTATAAATAACATTTCCAGAACATCCCATACCAACATTTTTTTAAAAAACCAGAAATCTTTCATTTTATCACATATAACAAAGCAAGAAGAAACATCCATGCATTATGTTTTGGGATTATTAGGCTTCAAAAGTCCCTAATCACACACATATGGAACAGATATATATAAATAAAACAAGTACATTCACATTCTTAAAAAAGAAAAACACTTGCAATGGATACTTACTAAAGATTTGTAATCATTCTTGTTTAGGACATTATAATTACATCAAGCCTACACACACACACACACACACACACACACACACACACACCCCTGAGAGAGAGAGAAAGAGAGAGGGAGGGAGGGAGAGAGAGAGATACACAGTGTGGCAATACATGTATGTCGTCTTTAGATATTTCTTGATTATCAGGATATATAGAATCCTCTCAGAAGAATGAGGAGAGGGGAGGAGCAATTTTAAGTTCCCTAACATTTATCATTGGTTTTGCAATTAAATCAACCTGGGTGGGCAAGTAACTATCTCATGCAATTTCCCAACTATTTATTTTTAAATTCATGCCTAACTGGTTCTTATACACAGAACAGGTGACCAGCATGCAAGTAGGTTGGTTAGTAGGTTTCATCTGTCCATTCGCACATTGGTCAGTGGTTGCCTGTGGGTTTTTAATGTATTCATGTTTGAAAAGTAAATTTGATATGACACATGATAATCTATGAAAATGTTAATCAATACAAATAGTTTAAGATGTCATCAAATGCACTTCTTTGGTCAATACTCATATTGCCAAAAACAATGTCACTGTCACTAGGGTTTAATTTGCACAGCCTTAAGTATTGGACTCTGTGCATCAATGCACTCTTCTTCAAATATTGTAGGTAAACACATTTTCTCCCTATTTAAAGCTAAAGCACTCAATGTGCATTTAGTTCAAGCTGAATCCTCCCTTTTGAATACGTTGATAGGTCCACTGGAGGGCAAAATTAATACTTAATTGAATCTCACAGTCATCAAAATAATCAATACTTTTTTATTATTTATTCTTTACAGTCTGTTGACTGTTTCAAATCTCAAAGGAAATGGGGTGGTAGGGAAGGATTCATAGCTTTGAAACACTGTCATTTAACAAGGTAATTTTCAGTGGGACATTAGGAGTTGTGAAACATATAATAAAAAAAATGGTGGCTTATAATAGAAAGAAAGAAAAGAATTATATTTCTGCCATCTAACAAAACAGGATAAATAAAAAAGAAGCAAGTGCTTGGAGAGAGAAAGGGAGGAGGGGAGGGAGGAGAGAGACTGGCTTTTGAAGGGTTTTATCATATCAAGAGCAGAGCTGAGCTTTCATAATGCTGACATTTCTCATCCTGACAATCCTAAACAAGTGGAAAGGATGAGATCGGAGATATCATCTTTCATCACATTCCCCAGCTTAAGAACCAACATGACAGTTCCTCTCCCCTTTACACTGTTAATTACTAAATAAAATACTACTCTCTGTCAGCATTAGATTATTGCAGATAGAAACCACTAACATTACTCCATGTTTGTTTTTCATATGACTATTGTTTGGGGCTTGCTTGTTTGTTTTTCTTTTAACTCCAATGATACTTACCCTCAATTTTCCAGGAAATAAATTAATCTACTTTTGACTTAAAATGTACTTAAATGTAACTTGTTCAATCATGGGAAAATCTGCAACATTTCTGGTTGAAACGGCTAACTCATCCAGATGCATAAATTAGTTTGAATTTGGCAGATATTTTAAGGAAACTTAGATGAGTGTATAACTGGGCTTAACTTATTTTTTAGTAACAGTATCTGCTACATTGAATACATATATAGCTTATTATTCAAATAATTTATATTTTAGCGTTCCTCTATGAAAATTGACATTTGTGTTTCTTTTACCCTGCTTCGGTTTATTACCGTCAAAGACCAGTATAAGCAATTAACAAATCACCAACAATTTAAGACAGGGATAAAGTACATTTATAGAATGAGCTACCTGACATCTAATGAATAAGATATAGGATACAGTCTATATTAGATCATAATATACACACAGTATAATTACATTAAAAATTACAGCAAAATATCTAAAACTATTAATATCAATGAAGTTATATCTAAAATATAGATAAATTATAATTACAAGAAATGTATTATGGGATTCTGGCCCATCAGGGTTTGATGGATCCTGTTCTGCTGCACAAAACCTAGTTATATGTGCTGTAATAAGACATATATGACCAACATCTGGGCATAAACTGAATCTAGATGAACAGGATATCAGCTATTCAGAGAAACTTTGAATCTAGTTCTGATGCCTCTCAAGGACAGAATAATAAAATTGAAAGGAACCTTGGAGGTCTTCTATTCCAGCTCCATTCTCAAGCAGAAGAGCCCATACTATTTCAGACAATGTCCAATCTTTTCTTAAAAACCTCCAATGATGGAGCACCCACAACTTCTGAGAGCAAGCCATTCCACTGATTAATTGTTCTGTCAGGAAATTTCTCCTTATTGCTAAGTTATTTCTTTGATTAGTTTCCATCCATTGCTTCTTGTTGTGCTTTAGGTACTTTGGAGAATGGATTGGCTCCCTCTTCTTTATGGCAGCCTCTTAGATATTGAAAGTCACTCATAGTCCTTCTTTTCGTTAAATTGGACATATCCAATTCCTGTAATCATGCTTCACATATTTTAGCCTTTAGCCCCTAATCATTTTTATTGCTCTTCTCTGCACTCTGCACTCTTCTAGAATCTTTTTATATTGTAGTGACCAAATCTGGATGCAATCTTCCAAGTTGCATACCAAGGCAATATCAAGAGGTACTAACACTAAAATTTCATGCCATCTTGATCTATCCCTCTGTTAATGCCCCCTAGAACTGTGTTAGCTTTTTTGGCAGCTGCTGCACACTGCTGGCTCATATTTAAGTGATTGTCCACTAGGATTGTCCACTAAGATCCCACTCACAATTACTACTATTGAGCCATGGTCTGTAGTTTCTACCTCTTCGGAATCACAGGGGCAAAGCCTTTCAGCCAATGAAACTGCAGAGGGGAGCACATGGCATCAGGCAAAACAGAAACCTTTCTGATGACTGTTTCTAGTTATATAAAGATAGCTGACAGCAGTGATGATACATCTGCTATGTACTGGTGACAAGAAGGTTGGGACTTTCTCTAGATCTGCTACCGGTATTCTTTTTTTTTTTTAATTGAAAAAGTTTTTCAAATACAAATTCCCCCCCTCCCCCCCCCTCCCTAACCCCCCCTCACCGTCCCCTCCCCCCTGTGGCTTCTTCATAATAAAACCCAAATTCATAACAGATTATATAATACTTTACCATCCCCTTACTCCATCCCCATATACTGACCCTTTCTTTCTAATATTATTATATCCCCCTTATACTATACATTTCAAAATGACATTCTACTATAACATTATATAATAACTCCTAATTTAGCATAATAATATTATTATATCTCCCAGTTTAGCGATTTCTGCTCATAATCTACCCTTTTTCTACCTCCCATACATATATCTCTTAAATCAAATCTTTTATGTATATTAATATAACATTTCAAAGCAACCTTCCGCTATAAAATTATATAATAAATCCTAATTTAACATTTATTCAATTCATAGTCTACCCATTTCCTTCACCCCCATTGATATATCTCTTAACTCAAATCTTTTACATATATTCATATCTAAACATAATATCCCTTTTCTTAAACTAAACAATCAATAAACTAACCTGTCTCCACCCACTTTCCTACAAGACTACCATACTTGATAATTTGTAATATCTTTATTCTTCTGCCCACACCACTAAAAAAATATTCCCTTATGTAAATAAAATCCTCTTAAAAAAGACTTTAAGCTTGTAATCCATATGATATCTTCTGTAATGTCTTTCAACTGGATTGTTAACTCCATCACCGATGTTAGGGTAACATCACATCCTAATTCCAACAATATGTTCGGTATCTTCAATTACCATCTGCCCCCATCAATAGCGAATATCTTCAAAAAAAAAAAAAAAACCCAACAACCACCCGAGTGACTTTATATTTGTATTCCATATAATGTCTATAGAGGTGTCTTTTATCCAAATAATTAATTCCAACCACCGTAATAGGGTAACAGCCAGATCATCTGCGTGCCCCAATTCCATAGCTCTCTCGCCTTGTAGCTCAGCATAAACGTAGTATATTTATCCAAAAAGAAAAAAAAAGAAAGATAGTTCCAATCATTTCAGTTTAAGGCCCTTTTCACATCCCAAAAGTACAGCACTGCAGAAGTCTGTCACTCTCCTCAGGATAATATAAACCAATACTTTGCCTCAGCTATCTTTTCATGTATTCAATCATCTCTTAAATAACTGGCATTACACTGTTGTTTAGTTTAAAAAATTTTGTTTTTGTGTGACCTGCTTCTTCTTTTCTTGACTTTTTGTGGGTTAGATCTCCATCCTGATTTCCTTTCTATAAATTATATATCAACTGTTTGATTTTCATACTGATCTATAACTTGATCTTGTTGGTTTTGCTTTTGTGGCTTAAATCTCCATTCTGGTTCTGTGAGTTTTATATCAACTGATTGATTTCCGTG